ATATCTGCATATGCTAGGCTCGTCAAGTTTAACCCGAGTATTATGTGTGTGCAAAACTGTCTTGCACCCGTTGTATGTGAATGTAGAGCTTATCACACCCGATCATCACGTGGTGTCTCGGCACGACGAACTTTTGCAATGGTGCATACTCAGGGAGAACACTTGTTCCTTGAAATTTAGTGAGGGATCATCTTATAATGCTACCGTCAAACTAAGCAAAATAAGATGCATAAAGGGTAAACATCACATGCAATCAATATAAGTGATATGATATGGCCATCATCATCTTGTGCCTTTGATCTCCATCTCCAAAGCACCGTCATGATCACCATCATCACCGGCGCGACACCTTGATCTCCATTGTAGCATCATTGTCGCCTCACCAACAATTTTTTCTATGACTATCGCTACCGCTTAGTGATAAAGTAAAAACAATTATAGGGCGATTGCATTGCATCCAATAAAGCGACAACCATATGGCTCCTGCCAGTTGCCGATAACTCTGTTACAAAACATGATCATCTCATACAATAAAATTTAGCATCATGACTTGACCATATCACATCACAACATGCCCTGCAAAAACAAGTTAAACGTCCTCTACTTTGTTGTTGCAAGTTTTACGTGGCTGCTACGGGTTGAGCAAGAACCGTTTTTACCTACGCATCAAAACCACAACGATTTTTTGTCAAGTATGTGTTGTTTTAACCTTCAACAAGGACAGGGCATAGCCACACTCGATTCAACTAAAGTTAGAGAAACTGACACCCACCAACCACCTATGTGCGAAGCACGTCGGTAGAACCAGTCTCGCGTAAGCGTACACGTAATGTCGGTCTGGGCTGTTTCATCCAACAATACCGCCGAATCAAAGTCTGTCATGCTGGTAAGTAGTATGACTATTATCGCCCACAACTCACTTGTGTTCTACTCGTGCATATAACATCTATGCATAAACCTGGCTTGGATGCCACTGTTGGGGAATGTAGTAATTTCAAAAAAATTCCTACGCACACACAAGATCATGGTGATGCATAGAAACGAGAGGGGAGAGTGTTGTCCACAACCCTTGTAGACTGAAAGCGGAAGCATTATGACAACGTGGTTGATGTAGTCATACGTCTTCACGATCGACCGATCCTAGTGCCGAACGTACGACACCTCCGTGATCTGCACACATTCAGCTCGGTGACGTCCCACGAACTTCGATCCAACAAAGTGTCGAGGGGGAGTTTCGTCAGCATGATGACGTGATGACGGTGATGATGATGCTACTGATGCAGGGCTTCGCCTAAGCACCGCAACGATATGACCGAGGTGGATTATGGTGGAGGGGGCACCGCACACGGCTAAGAGAGATCAATGATCAACTTGTGTGTTCTAGGGTGCCCCCTGCCCCCGTATATAAAGGAGCAAGGGGGGAGGCCAGCCTGGCCTTGGGGCGCGCCAAGGAGAGGGGGAGTCCTACTCTCAGTGGGAGTAGGACTCCCCTTTCCTAGTCCAACTAAGGAGGAAGGGGAAAGGAAGGAGAGGGAGAGAGGGAGGAAAGAGGGGGCACCGCCCCCCCTTCCTTGTCCAATTAGGACTCCCAAGGAGGGGGACGCGGCCAACCCTAGGCCCTCTCCTCTCTCTCCCACAAGGCCCATGTTGGCCCATTAGATCCCCCAGGGGTTCCGATAACCCCCTGGCACTCCGATAAATATCTGGTGTTCCCCGGAACTCATCCGGTGTCCGAATATAGTCATCCAATATATCAATCTTTATGTCTCAGCCAGTTTGAGACTCCTCGTCATGTCCATGATCACATCGGGAACTCCAAACTACCTTCGGTACATCAAAACACATAAACTCATAATACCGATCGTCACCGAACGTTAAGCGTGCGGACCCTACGGGTTTGAGAACTATGTAGACATGACCGAGACATGTCTCCGGCTAATAACCAATAGCGGAACCTGGATGCTCATATTGGCTCCCACATATTCTACGAAGATCTTTGTCGGTCAAACCGCATAACAACATACGTTGTTCCCTTTGTCATCGGTATGTTAATTGCCCGAGATTCGATCGTCGGTATCTCAATACCTAGTTCAATCTCGTTACTGGCAAGTATCTTTACTCATTCCATAATGCATCATTCCTTAACTAACTCGTTAGTCACATTGCTTGCAAGGCTTATAGTGATGTGCATTACCGAGAGGTACCAGAGATACCTCTACGACAATCGTAGTGACAAATCCTAATCTCGATCTATGCCAACTCAACAAACACCATCGGAGACACCTGTAGAGCACCTTTATAATCACCCAGTTACGTTGTGACGTTTGGTAGCACACAAAGTGTTCCTCCGGTATCCGGGAGTTGCATAATCTCATAGTCATAGGAACATGTATAAGTCATGAAGAAAGCAATAGCAATATACTAAACGATCAAGTGCTAAGCTAACGGAATGGGTCAAGTCAGTCACATCATTCTCTAATGATGTGATCCCATTCATCAAATGACAACTCATGTCCATGGCTAGGAAACTTAACCATCTTTGATTAACGAGCTAGTCAAGTAGAGGCATACTAGTGACACTTTGTTTGTCTATGTATCCACACATGTACTAAGTTTCCGGTTAATACAATTCTAGCATGAATAATAAACATTTATCATGATATAAGGAAATATAAATAACAACTTTATTATTGCCTATAGGGCATATTTCCTTCAGTTACACACTTCACAAAATAACATGTATATAAACGGATAGGGTATGGGTATATCCATGGGTAGAGGGTTATACCCATGACTTAACAGATAGAGTATGAGTACTGCCCATGGGTATAAAATTGTGCTCATACCTTACCCATGTGGGTACGGTATCCGCGGGTACCCGTACCCATGGGTAAAATTGTCATCCTTAGTGTCGAACGAACTTGCCTCCTGGTGGATAGCTGCCTCTCACAGCTCTGGCACTTCGCTGGACTCCATGTTTGGGAAGAATGTGTCCACCTCTGCCCGTGCCTCACAGAGGTAGTGGTGATTTGCCTCCACCATCGCCTGACTCCATGTTTGGGAAGAGTGTGTCCACCTCTGCTCGTGCCTCATGGAGGTAGCGGTGATTTGCCTCCACCATTGCCTCCAAGGGGATGGATTGCTTCTCCATCACCTCCTCCGCTTGGGCAACCTCAAACTCGCCCAACGCACCGGCCACGCCGAATCCCGCAATTGGAGGCACCAGACCTGCCTTGCCTTTCTCCTCTTTCTCCTCCTCCGGCTTTGCGTCATCCATGGTCGTGTTCGGCGCCTGCAGCTCTGGTCCTTCTCCCCTCCCCCCTGTTGCTCCTCCTCCTGCCGCTGCTCCGGCGAGTCTAGATGCAGGCCAACTGCAATCCGAGCTTCACGCGGACTCAGATCTCCTCAAGGATCTCTAATCGACGCTCCGGAGTGAGCATTGCATAAGTGGTGATCCTCTGCCAGACCATGGCTATATGCGGACGGCGAGCTCCGAGCTGTGATCAAATGGGGAGTGACGGCATGGGCGGGGGGGTGAATGCTACTAGGGTTGGGGGTCGTAGTCCGGCTTACATAGTCTGCTTTGGCCCCTTGGACGGCATGACGGAGCGGTGTTCTCACCGGACCGTTGGGTTACGTTGGGCTGGATATGAGGGGTGCCGATCAGTCCAGGCGTATAGGGCCTGCATGAGGGGCGTGGTTGCATCCATATTTTACGTTTGGCCACTAATCGGGTTACCCTAGGTGTTTGAGGAGCCCAACACAAATTTGAGGGATAGTCTAGATGCCAGCCAACGAGATGTTGAAACGAAGAGTGTAGCTTTTATTTTTGAGCACAACGACGAGGGAGCAACTAATTAAGGAGTACTCCATCAGGAGCCCTCCAAAGGGTCACTTGGGGTGGGTGGGAGCGCGTCACTTGGCGCGCTCTGGACGCTCCCTTTGAAAAAAAAAATTATTTTTCTGTACGCGTTTTTGACTACTAGATGATTTTTTCGGGATTTTTTGCTTCTTGGTTTCCCCCGGTTTTTTTCTTAGCTTTTGGGTCGGGTTCCGCGAGAGGCACGGCCATGCCTCTCGGAAAGGAAAAAAACACGTTTTTTTCTTCAGCGAGAGGCACGAGTTTACTTCCCGTGGAGGCACGGATTTGCTTCCGCGGGAGGTATGGCCGTGCCTCTCGAAAAGTGAAAAAAACGTGCTTCTATTTTGGGTTTTTTCGTGGAAAAAAGTTCGTCGAAACCTATCAACATGGATCGAGTTTTGAAGATCTCGATGTGAGGAATCCAACGATGAAAATAGTTCATGATTCGGACGCACGGTTTGAGAGATAAAACATTCTGAATAAACAAACCTACGAAAAACTCTTAAATTATGACAAATGGCCAGTGTGATACTTGTCGCAAACTGGGAGGGTGAGAATGACCCTTACAAAGACAAAAGAGTAGTGATTTTGAACCAAGAGTGCAGCTTTTTTTTTTTTTTGAGACAAACGAGTGCAGCTCAACGGCGAAGTTGGATGATAGCGAAGCCCATTTTAGTGAGGGCCATATACAGGATCAGAACGATAGCCCGAGCAAACCCGGCCCGGCCTGGAGGATGCCCAGGTTTAGCTGGGAACAATCGCCGTCAGCCGCACGGCGATACCGGGAGCCCCGTCGACTCCGGCGGCCGGAGGGCAACGCACGCGGGCCCGCACTCACGTCACGGCTCTCGCCACAGCTAATCCGGCGAAGCTCTCCGCGGCCTAGGCCGCCAGGTTCGTCCCAGCCATCCTCCTCTTTACAGCGATTTCCGTTTTGTGATTCGTCGGGGGTAAATCGAGAACCGAGCATTCAGAGTTTCAGACAAATTTGAAAAAACAGTAGTGTTCTCTTGCAAACAAATTTATTCAGGTACAAATTACAAATCCTAAGTACAATTACAATTACAAATAGTCTTCTAATTCATGCTAAAATCCGTAACATCACCAATCTTTATTTTTCATACAACATTCTTCGTTACTATGCAACATCGGCGTAGAAATCTTGGATTGTGATCCGGACTGCTAGTGGGATCCTCACCGAGTGGTGCTCATTGCGCCAAGTCAGGCTGCCGAACGTGTAGTCCCCTTGCACCTTCCACAGAGGCGTCATGCTGACCTTGAAGGCGTGCACTTTCTTTGTCGCGTTGAAGACTAGGGTTGGTGGGTCGACTTTGATCCTCACTCCTGGGGGGGACTGTATATCGGCTCGGTAAACCGAGTCGACCTCGCCAACGTTCGTGACTGCTCGCTGCACCTTAATTGGACCCCTTAGCTCAGGAATGGCTATGGAAGGTAGGTTTAGGTGATATGCCGGCGATGTCGAGATGTTGCAGATAGCGTATTTCTGAATCGTGCAAGCGAAGAACTTGCTGTAGTCCCTCGGATTGATGTCGTAAACAAGGCCGGGATCGGCAGCTGCATTAGGATTTATGTTTCCCCCTCCATAGTCGAATGGGTCGGCGACCTTCCGGGGTAGTGCTTCTGCTAGCATCGGCATGCCATGCTCGTCCTTGGTTGATGCTTTACCCATGCAAAGAAGAACGAATTGTTGTTAAGAAAGTGTGAGTGGATTGATGAGGATAGTGTTTCATGTGGATATAATGTTTTAGGAATTTACCAGTGGTAACAATTGCTGATTTTAGGGCAGCGTGAGACCAATCAGGGTGTACAGCCTTTAGCAATGCTAAGATGCCTGCTACATGTGGGGTTGACATTGATGCCCCTGAGTCGAACACATATCCATCTCCTGTAGCTGCTAAGATGTTCACTCCTGGTGCGGCTATGTCAGGCTGTTAAAGTAGTTATAATGGGATTAAGATAATTTCACCGTATGAAGGTAGTGCTAACCTGTCAAACAAAATCATCTTAACGTCCCTATTTCTGAGGGAAATCTTACGATCAATCCCTACTAGTTGGTGTTTTTCCGAAAATTGTTTCTGGAATAATAGTATATATATTGCACAGGACAACAGAATGCGCTCGTTTTAGCTTGTGTACCTTAAGAACTGTAGGGTACTTGATGGACGGGCCTCTTGAAGAAAAAAATGCGACTCTTGGAGCAGGAACTTGGTTTCCTGTTATAGTACTTGCTGGCTCAATCTTTGCAATGGGCGAACTGCTCAAGTTAAAGCACAGTTTATTGAGTCTTTAAATAATTGCTGGATAAAAGTTAACATCTGTAAGCAACTAAGCATGGAAGGCCACAAAATAGGTTCTTACCCTTGGCTTCCAATGTATGTTGCAACTTGAAACCCAATATCAATGTCGACAATGACACATGCCATGCCCACACAATCTTCGGTGCTCAAAAGCTTATCGAAGGTATATATTGCGAAAATAAGACCAAATGCCCCACCACTTTTAACATTTGTTATGGCATCTGGGATAATGTCTGCTGGTGGGCCAAAAGTTTCTTTAATGCATAGAACAACTTTTCCGTTGATTTCCGTGCCATTTAGTGCCTCGATTGAGCAGCTGTAAACAGAAAGACCACAATAATTGATCAACTGCATTGAGAAATTTAATGCCTAAACAGAAAATGACATCTAGAATCAAGAAAATGAATAGCATCTGACACACCTTCCACCTTGTACAAGTGGTTGGAACCCACTCTTGGATTCATTTTTCAGCATGTAATAGAGTGATTGACCCTGCAAATATGAAAAATTGAAAAAATATGCACAAGTTTTGAGTTGGAAGTGTTTGAGGATGGTAGGTGGAGCAAAGTTGCCTCCCAGGATTCTAACAAAGATCATGTTTCTCTAGTGCATACCACAATGGTTTGATTGTTTCCAAGGGTAATGGCAGTTGGAAAAGACCGGTCGATCTTGCTCGTTGCGACTGTAATGACCCAAGGAGCTGTGTTAGAAATGACTTGTGGTCTAGGCCCGCTATTTCCCGCGCCATAAACAACGGTAATACCCTTCTGGACTGCATGGAGTGCACCAAATGAATTATCATTATATTGGACTGATAGGGATAGGATGTCAACTCCATCATGAATTGCATCATCCAGAGCTGCTAGCAGTGCAGCACTAGCAAGCTGCACCTTCTTCGGGCCCTCAAATGCGACCTTGTACACTGCAAGGCGCGCTCGGGGCGCACCACCCCGTGCCACCCCTGCTGCCAGGCCATGGAGGCTGACCCCCTCTACTACTGCACCGGCTGCTGTGGATGCGGTGTGCGTCCCATGCCCGTTTATGTCCCGTGCAGACATGTAATTGTTCGCTTGGTCGGCTTTGTCCAGACCCGCAGGATAGTACCGTGCGCCTATGATTTTCCTGTTGCAGTTGGTGCTGTTCCAGGCCTGCCCCAGCTGACACACACCCTTCCATCGTGACGGTACTGGTCCGTATCCTTCGTCGCTGAAGCTTCTTGATTCAGGCCAGATCCCTGCATCAATTGCATTTGCAGTGTTTTAGCAGGAATTTGCTTGGTGAAGATTTTTTTTCTTTCTAATTTAACTTGTTAGCAATGAAGGACTGACCAGTGTCAAATATCCCGATAATTACATCTTCTCCATATTTGCTCCTCTGCAGAAGTTTACTAGGTGGCTGATGGTCCAGGTTCATGCCAAGGAAATCCCAGCTTCTTGTGGTCATCAAGTCATGGTGCTGATTTGGAGTAACGCTGATAACTTCAGGTAGCTCTGAACATGTCAAATAGATACATGAGAAAATTCTAAATCAGAAGCCACCAGTTAGTTATCTATGTGGTGTATAATCACAGAGTAACAAAAAGAAAGGATCCTCATAACCCGAGAAAGAAATTGTCTGCTTCTCAGTTAACTACTGATAGTCCCAAGATCAAAATTTTCTCGCCCCTTATTTTACCCTTTCACGAATTCTGAAGTTTGATTGGACAATTCTCAGCATTGACTTAAAAGTAGTTATTTTTCAGTCACCTAAGAAATAGGAAAAATTGAAATAATAATCAGGCAGGATCGTAAGGCTACTGCAGATGTGCAGCTTCATACTAAAATGAGCGTACAACTACAAATAAGTTGTATTGCAGAAAAGAGACCATACATTGATCCGGAGTAGGTTTCCACAAAACGGGAATAAGAACCATATGACTGCCCGCCCACGAACTCACATCGATGATTAGAAAGCTAAACAGCTTAACTAATGAGCAAATAATAATTACCAAATACGTTTCTTTCTTCGGAAGAAAGGATCATGCATCAGGATTGAATTCCCCAATTCGGTTATCTTAACAGGATAGTGTTAGATCAACAGAGAATTAGCGAAGCAATTTTTGTAGCAAACTTGGCCCACCTGCAAGATCTTGTGCTTGGTCATCTGTTAGCATCGCCGCGAAGCCTGAGAAGCCATGCTTGTAGCTATAAGTGATGGAGGCCAACGCATCTTCCTTGCTGAAACAAGTCAGCAAGTGATGAGAAAAAAAAATGGCAGCCTTACTCGGAACTGTCGAACGACATACTCGTTCCTTCAAAATTATATGCCCTTCAGAAGATCAGAACCAAACTTGGAAAGCTAGCAAACTTGTTCTTAGGTTTACCTTCCAAGAATGGCGCTGAGCATGTCATGGTGCGAAGCTGTTACCAGAGAAGGGTCCTCATGTTTCTTCTCTCCCAGGTAAACGATGTACAGCTACGCGTGGAGAGGGACAGAAAACACAACTTAGCATCGAACAGAATCAACACTATGAGATACAGTAAAATGTAGGGTGATGCATCAGCCATACCTTTTGAGACCCATACCCTCTGCTTATGCTTATCATAAGGCATAAGCAGAGTAGGAGGTAAGCTGAAAAACGCCGAGGGGAAGAGTGGAAATCCATGTTGGTGTGGAAGCACATGCTGATATGATCCAACAACAGGTAATGGTATTTATAGGCCTGTTAGTCTCTGTCTTGTATGATGATGGCTAATTGATTGTCCATGTGCAGAAAGGAAGGTCAAAGATACAGGCTCAGTTGGCATGAATCCAATCTTTCGGCTATCGACGCCAATTTCCTCCCTGAAGTTTCCCTGGAACTAGCTCAGCTGAAACGCGTTGCGTTCCCCCCTGCTCCAGTATTCTCCCATTTCAAACCTGTAATGTTGCACTTATTTTCCCTCTCCTGAAGCATGGTTTTTCAATTTGTTCATTCGCTTGTTATGCAGATAAATAAATATATCCTATCATCTTCCCTACGAGAAGTGCTCACTCCGTTTTGTAGTTGATTTAGTACAACCGTTCCATATTAGTTGTTGCTGATTTAGTACAATGGAACGGAGGGAGTAATAAAAGCAAAAACGTGTGGCGTGCAGGCAACGAAATTGCTGAAGATGCTGCCGGTTGCTGTAGGCAAGAACAGGGCAGGGCTCCGTTCAGACAGGGAATCAAATCAAGGGCCCTCCGGATGGTCTCGTGCGCGTGTTGAAGGTGTGGTGGTTCTCAATCGGCGGCGGGTTTTGTATGCCTTTCCTTTTCCTGGCCGCTGCATATGATTGTACAGGTCCATCACCCGTGGCTGTGAGCGATCCGGAGAACATTGACTTCCTGATGAGAGAGCATCTCTCTTCCATCTCTTCCGGAGAGAAGATTGACTTGACTAGCGCGTCGACCATCCATGCCATACGTAGTGCCAGCTCTTCCAGTGTTATCGTGCAGACGTCAGTGCAGCCTGCTGATCTTTTAGGCCAACTCCACCGCGCGACCTCAAACGGACGTCTATTTCATTCGGATTTTATCCGTTTGGGGAAGCAATGGATGCTAAAACGGACATGCATGTCCGGATGTAGGTGAAGGCGTCCAGCGCGCCGACCGACCCCAAACGGTCCGCCTCGACCACGCGCCCCACGCCTGCGCCTCACCTGCCCGCGAGCTCGCGCTCTCGCCTCGCCGGTGCGCACGCGCGGTTGCCGTGGCATCTTGTCGCCGCGCTGGGCAGAGGAGGGAGGAGGAAAGCACTCATGAGAGCAGCGCGGGGACGAGCGCGACGTCCCTGTTGCCGGCGGCGAGGAAGAGCATCGAGACCCCGGCGCTGATCTCCTCCCGCAGTGCCGACCCGCGCCCTGGCCGCTCCGCGGTGGCCGCGCCCGCGCCCTGGTCGCCCCGTGTCGACGTTGGCGGGGACTGCAGCTGCTGCTGGGCATGCGAGCGGGGAGAGAGAGAAAAACGAGAGAGATCGATGGGAGGTGAGTGGGTGACAGGTGGGTCCAGGCCGGACAAGAGCAGTCGGGAAGGACGCAGAAAGCGTCCGCTCAGTGTCCGTTCGACCCCAAAGCCGAATCAAATTTGCGCTCGAGATGGGGCAACCGGACCAGAAACAGACATTTTTTACGGACGGGGTCGCGCGTTGGGCCGCTTCATTTGTCCGTTTAGACCCAAACGGACAGACTCGGACGATTTAGAGTCGTGCGGTGGAGTTGGCCTTATTTCTTGGAAGAGAAGAAGTACACTTTTGCTTGAAAATGTTCATAAATAGTACTACTTGCTGAACTTTTTTTTAGAGGATCACTGAGTGTATTCTGGCAGTGTAAATATGAGTTCTGACCATGATTCGTTCAATATCTGTTTAACGGTTACAGATTCATAATAGGAAGTGCTTAACGTGACAATATCAACTTTGTGCAGAATAGATAATTAGATTAATTCTTGATAAAGCTTGGTTCTTTAGAGTCAAAAAATGCATCTTACATGCATAAATAATAAAGAAATAGAGTTTCATATCTGCATCTTGTATTGGTATAGTCAACGACGCATTTGTCAGGAAAGCACTCAGAAATTGATAAGTCAAGTTCGTAACCAGCCATTGGTCATACTATAAAAAATTGTTTTATTTGTTGTTATATTGTACAGTAGTATGGATTTGTTAAAAATGTAACTTATGTTCATTACTCTTTTAGACTTGTGTAGACACATGTGTGCTAAGAGCATAGCCAGCTGATGACTATATAGAGCTGCCATATCATTTTTAGTAATCTACTATACTCACTCGTATTGGTAGTGATGTACACACAATGTTGATGGACGATTTGTGCACGACATGATTAGAAGCCACACATATTAAAGAAATTAGGCAATCCAATGATCTAGATGACCTGTCGTGTCTGAATCGTGCACAAATCCATCGTGTGCACAACACTACTCCACTTATATAGTAAGGCAAGCTATAAAGTGGTCTAGATTAATACTTTTTTCTAAGCATCTCTCTTTATTTCTTTGCATTTATTGTGTTTACCTTGTAGTAGCATATAGCTAGGCTCTTGCATGCGAGCCCACTCTTCTCATTTTTCCATGACTCTCTCCGCCACATAGGCAAAAATACCATGTAAGCAAAGTGGGCTATAATGTGCATTTGTGTCCATGTTGTATCAGCACTAATCCCCCACGTAAAATTGAATGACATAAATGTAGACGGGACTTTGTTAATTCTCATTTAGATGAGAACTAGAAAATTTGTATTCTTTTTATATTCTTACTTTGGATTTCTCTAGGGTGAAAGTGTTCTAATCCCGAGCTCAAGTGAGCTCGGGTGACCAGTAAAATAAAAAATAATCTGATTTTTTGGTGTCAAACATGGCTTGTAAAATTTCATCATAAAAGGACATTCATGGAAGAGGTGGCAAAAAACAAAATCGATGCTCCAACAAAATTGATGCCCCAAAATGCGTTTGAAATTAACATTTTGGAGCATCGTTTTTTTTTTGCCAAGTTTTCCAAGAATATCATATGGTGATGAAATTTTGCAACAAAATTATGACTGGACTGTTCACCTGAGTTCACATGAGGTCGGGATCAGAATAGCCGCATCCTTCTCTAGGGCTCATTTAGATGAGAAATAGTTATTGCACTTTTAAGTGACATCACACCATCTCCTTGCTTTTTTTTTGTTTGGTGGTTCTCGTGCATTTCTTTGTTGTTGTCGTCCCTGTAGCGTTGCAGGTCTTTTTTTGTGCTTGTACTTATTGCACATGTTTTATCTCACGGGATGTGTGCCTTATTTGTCAACCCAAAACTAAGAAAAGCACATGAAACCCCAACACAAGTTTTTTTCCGCTTGTCTTTTTGTTGTTGTTGGTCCGCATTTTTTGTTGATTTTGAATTTTTTTGTGAAACTAAAAAAAAGGTTCACAATTTTCTAAAAAAAAAGTGTTGTCACCAGAGGCATTTTCCCACCAAAACATATGTACTTTGCAAAGGGACATTTTATGTCGAACGGGTACCTCTAATTTGTTTTTTTAGGTGACTAATTTGTGATTATTAGGGAAGGTTGAGGCCTGAGAATCGGGCCCAACAAAACTAACAGGACCAGACTACAGCTCCATCTGCTGCTAATGGTCCTGAACCGACGGCAAGGCTAAATTTAGCGTAGAACCGACGGACCGAATATCCTCTCTCCACGTTTAATCGTCGGTCCGCCTAATTTATACGCGCCGTGCTCCTTTATAACCGACGGTGCTGGAACCGGGGCGGAAGGAGGAGACAGATATTTCCCCCGAGGTCAAGTCGTCTCGTCCCGTGCTGCGTTTCTCCTCCTCCCCGCATTCGCCGTCTGCGGTTCTCTCCACCGAACAAGGTGATTCCCCCCTCCTCGCCTCGTCCTTCCCCTCCCCCCTCGGCTGATTCTACGTTTCCGTGCTCCCCCGCGGTTCGATTTCTAGCGGTTGACTCCGTCCCCCGATCGGTCTTGGCTGCGCCGTCGGATCGATCGCCCGCTCCTCATCTCGCTCCGAGCCGACCAGATCTCGGTAGGGCTGTTGGGTTGGTTTGGTGGTGTGCCGATTTTTTGGCCCCAATCGGTTGGTTTCCGCACCTGGTAGGCCGATTGTCTGATAATTGGGGATTCGCTTAGGTTTGTGGGCGCGATTTGAACCGATCTGCTCGCGCGAGCAGTTTAGATGAGCACCTTGTTTTTTCTGTTGTCGGTGTATGCGATTGTGGGTTGGTTTAGATATTTCCTGATGCATAGAACGGTCAATTTTACAACATGCTGTTTGTGATTTAGGAAATTTGTGGGCTGATTTTAGGTTCTCCCTTGGTAGTTAATAAGGAGGTAAATTATTTTGTATGGTATTCTACTTTCTATGTGGATTTTGCAAGTGGCCAAGGATGGGGAGTTATGCTTGCGTTTTGCACACCGTACCTCGTTTTTTATGATGAATATCCTGCGCACTTTCTTCGATGTTGTACTGTTGTGCACTTTCTTCCATGATGATGTAGTACTATAACTCTGAATTTCTTAAATTTCGTCAGCTATTATGGTAATAACTTAATAGAGATCAACGTATTGCTGGATGGTTTGTAATTGTTTGGGATGTTTTGCAGCTCACACATCAAGACAATAAATAGAGCCTGTCTGTTTGGGGCCAATCAAACCAAACAACAAGTTCATGTCTGATCTCGACGTCCAGGTTCCAACTGCTTTTGGTATGCACTCATTTCATTATCTCTTCATTAGGGAATCACAATTGACACCTGCCAATCCATAACAATTTGAGAGACCTTAACCTGTAGATTGTGTTTCCTTGCATTCTCTCTTGCCCTGAATTAACCTATAGACTGTTCCCAGTATCTTATCTCATTAACGAATAGCATACCATTATCTAGTTGATTATGAGTTGTTGTATACCAACATATATTATCATGCTAAAAAACCTTGCCTAGAGGTGGTACTGATACATAGCTTAACTGCATTAATAAAGATGTAGATTCAGGGATCACTGTATTATACTCCCTCCGTTCCTAAATACAAGTCTTTGTAGAAATTTCACTATAGACCACATACGGATGTATATAGATGCATTTTAGTGTGTAGATTCATTCATTTTGCTCCGTATGTGGTCCATAGTGAAATCTCTCCAAAGACTTATATTTAGGAACGGAGGGAGTAGAAAAATGGATCATTTGTTTTGCCCAAATAACCTATAGATTGTCTTTTCTTATGTTCTCACTTACCCTAAATTATCCAATAGACTGTTCTGAATATCTAAATTATGAGTTAGTTGTTATATACCAACATACATTTATCATGCTGGACAAGAGCTTTTCCTAACCTTCTCTAGAGGTGGTACTGATCTTATCTGTGTTAATGAAGATGTGTGTTCACAGATAAGCACAAAAACATGGATCATGGATCTTTTTTGTTTGCCTACAGTCTAACTCTGATTTATGAATTCTCTGGTTGCCTACCCTCCACCCAGAAGTTGACATTGCATCTTCTCTGTAGATCCGTTTGCTGAGGCAAATGCTGAGGACTCCGGCGCTGGTGCTGGATCAAAGAACTATGTGCATGTGCGTGTCCAGCAGCGCAACGGAAGAAAGAGTCTGACAACTGTTCAGGGCTTGAAGAAAGACTACAGCTATAACAAGATTCTCAAGGATCTCAAAAAGGAATTCTGCTGTAATGGTACTGTAGTCCAGGATCCAGAACTAGGCCAGGTAGAGTGAGGTTCTCCTATTTTGTTGAAGTGAAGTTCTCTCATTGGAAGGTGTATATGCTGATGAGTTATCTTCTGTATTTTCAGGTCATCCAACTCCAAGGTGATCAGCGTAAGAATGTTGCTACTTTCCTAGTTCAGGTAATTTACGATGCCATTTTACATTATCATACATATTGACTGTTGCGTCGTTCACCTTCTTAATTTGATAATTTCTGTTTGGTTAGGCTGGACTTGCAAAGAAAGAGAGCATCAAGATTCACGGATTTTAGGCAACACACAAATGCCCGTGTGCTGTCACCGAAGCCTGGAAGTTGTCGTACACTTGGTATTGTCACATCTAAGACATTTGAATTGCTAGTAGTCGTGTGAGGCATCTGTGTTTGATGCACTTTTACATCCAAGACATTTGGATTGGCATCGGTGTGTTGATGCAAGTTGTCCTTTACCATGGTTTGTATGCGCCACCAGTATGGCAGTATGGTTTATCCAGGTTATTGTGCACTAAATAAATGTACTTCAGGCTTATCTTCTCATGGTTGTGTGCTCTGTTCGTTTGTTTTTTGTTTGCTCGAATTTGTTTATTTTCTCATGGTTGTGTTCAATCGGTGCCTAGGCCACTGTCCTTTGTATTTTCTTGATATGACACGTAGGTGGAGATAGTTTCTTAGCTCCATCTAGTTGTAAGCATTGGCAGTGTCTTATCTGGGCACTAGCTCATATGCATGATGTGCGGTTGGCCTTAGAGGCATGGATAGTGGTTGTGATGTGTAAGGCTGATTAGATCCTGACTGTCGGCGAAAGTCGCACTCTGGGTTGATGGCGGCGCTTTTGGGCGTCGCTCCCTCGTTCATCTTGCCTTTCCTGACGTGCTTCAAGGGAAACCCTTGATCTAGTTTAGATAGGACGATGACAGTGCCATTTGGCGTCGCGTTCTCTTGGGGGATGGATCTGGTCAGAGGGACCCGTGGCTCGTGAGGGTGTGTGTTGTTGGTCGAAAGGCTGTTTGTATGATTTTTGAGTCCGGTTTCCCTTATAAACTGGACCAACCTTCTAATCAATGAATTTGGTAGATCAACTACCAATTTTCGAAAGAGGCATATGCCCCTATTTCCCTTGGGCACTAGATCATATGCACCCTTGACTTGCACGATGATGGATGAAGGTGCTTTACTCGTGGATGCTGCGAACTCTTTTCGAGGGATCACTACAGTGAAGAGGCCCTCTGTTCCTCCCAATCCAGAGATACCTCGACTCTTTCAAAGGAAGGAGACCTTGCTATTTCAGATAAAAGGATGAAGATCAAATGCGAGATGGTGTAATTTTGAAGAATAGAACAGTGAATTACTGGCACTTGCTGCTAGAACGTTATAGTATGGTGAAGCTAATGTAGTATCAAATGATCGTTGGGTGAGCTGATTAAAAAGAGAAGCAAAACAAGTAGAAGCCCAAATTCAGCGATGCTTTTCTGTTGCAGCTAGCTAGCCGTGACCAAGCTACACTGCGCATTTCTCGTCTATTCTACCATCATCAGACTTGCCAAGAGCAAGTCCACACTGGGCATTTCTCGTCATAGCAACATGACCTTTTCCAGAGCACGCACGCACAACATTCAGATTAATGGTATACAATACGGTCCCGTACTCCGGCCTACTGACCAGCTCCCACGGCGCCGCCGTCTTCCACGTCCCGGCCGCACCGGAGGTGTATCTCGTAGCCGCAGGCGATGCACTGGTACGCCCAGCCGAACCCCTGCTCGTCGCACTCACAGCAAACGTACGGCCCTCCGCCCGACTTCTCCGACACGACGCTCAGCTCGTGCCGGTGCCCGGCGTGGCGCAGCGACGGCGCGTACCCCTTGGCCGCCTCGTCCTCCAGCTCCTGCTGCCGCCTCACCTGCTCCTCCGTGAACGGGAACGCCATGTCGAAGTAGAGGTTCACCAGGTTCCTCCCGTCCCTCGTCACCGTCTTGCCGTCGGGCCCGATCACCACCAGCGTCGGGATCTCCCGCACGTCGAAGTACCTGGCCAGCGCCCGCGACGGCACGCCTTCGCCGTCGTAGGGCAGCGCCAGCCACGGCATGTCGCCGCGCGACCGCTCGTACCCATCCTCCTCCTTGTCCATGGGGATGTACACCACCTCGAACTCCGCCGACTTGCCCTTCAGATTGCCGTATATGGCGGCCAGCCTCGCGGTGAACTTGACGCACGGCTCGCACCTGTGCGCCGAGAAGTAGAGCCCCACCGTCTTCCCGACCAGGCTCGAGATGGGGACCTGCAGCCCTTAGCCACGGTGAGGCCAGCAGCTGGATGCATGGCGAAATCAATGGCGATGCTCGCGAGCTAGCTCATGATCGTTCGACACCATGCACACACCTCCGCATTCTAGAGCAGAACAACACTCGGTGGTAGTAAGTACCTGTTCGTCGCCGCCGTTGACGTGGCCGACGGAGAAGAGCTTCTCCAGCGTCTGGGAGGCGAACTTGCTCCGCTCGTCGGCCTCCAGCTCCGCCACCCTGGCCGGGGTGAACGGGAACGCCGGGTCACCGTAGCGGTGCACGAGCTCGACGGCGTCGGAGCAGACGACCTCGGCGCCGCCCGGGGCGAGCACCACCAGGCGCGGGATGCCCTCGACCTGGAACATGTCGCTGAGGCTCTTCTTGCAGCGGAGGTCGCCGAAGGGCACGGCGGGCCACGGCATGGCGCGGTGGAACCGCTCGAAGGACGGCCGGTCCTCGTCGCACGACACGAAGACGACCTCGAAGCCGGCGCCGCGCGCCCTGAGCTGCTCGTACGCGGCGGCCAGCGCCGGGGTGAAGGCCTCGCACTTGGGGTACCAGTTGGCGGCGAAGTATAGGCCGATGATCTTGCCGTCTAGCTCCGGGAGCTCCACCTGTGAAGATTAGTTAGGGGACACGTGTTCGCCGGTTTCATCAGGCGAGTCATGATCACCGTTCACAGAAAAGAAAACAAAATGATGGCAACTTTTTTTTTGATGGGCAAAATGATGGCAACTTGGCAAGAGAGAGGGGAAAGGAATAGTTCACCGGAAAAGAAGACCGTATAAATGTGAGGCGATTTTTTTTTCGAACCAATCTATGGTTGGATGGTCAGAGGGACTGTGATATCCCCAGCCCGCCAGGGTTCCTACGGTGACTTCGTAAATCTCAAGATGATATGCCGGTTTCAGTATAAAATTAAGACACTTATTTTTGGGACGGAGGGAGTATATTAATCTTCTAGTATAAAAAAGAATAATCGGAAACTGCATGAGTTTCTGAGTATTACAAGTTCAGTTTTGTAGTCCAAAATTCATAGTGTTATTTCCTAGGTAAAAAGTGACATCAACGTATATTGATCTTGTTTGTTTGGGATGCTTAGTGAGCTTCTTGTAAAAGAATTCATAAGCTGAACTTCTTTATAGATTAAAAAAGCGTGAGAGGCGTGCACTTGTTGGAGCTAGCCGAAGGAGCTCAAGAACATGCACGGAAGTACAGATAAGCGTCTTCATTTTTCTTGGCTTTGCCTCGTTTGAGAGAGCTTCATCGTGAAAACCAGATGGAAGGAAAAGCTTTTTTCGATTGTTCAAGCTGACCTAAAGCACTTCGCGTAAAGTGTTCCAACTTGAACTACTCTTAAATTGGATCTTGACTAGTTTTTTTTTAATATACTAGGAATATGAATTTTTGTCTGACTGAATTTAACACAAAATCTATTACTAAGAAGAATCTGAACTTTTGTCTGACTGATTTTAACGCAAAATATATTAAGAAGAATTGTACGAGTACTATCCACTTCGCCGTCCGTTATATCTACCCTTGCGTGATAAAATCAAGAGATCCGAAATCAAACCCAGCTAGGCAAATCATTCTGGTTTAACCAAAGAACAGCAAGGAACTTGAAACCGAAGAAGGAAGAAAATAAAGATGACTAAGAGCCAAAGCGGAAGCAGAAGCACGGGGCATGGTGGAGAAGCACCTCGTTCCCGGACGGAGAGACGAGCGAGCCGAGAGGCAGCACGGAGCGGATGCCTCCACCACTCCCATCTGCTTCTTCCATCTCCGGATCCCCAACGACGTCCAGTGTCCTGTGACCAGGCACGGCACTTTCCCTGTGCCGCCTGACCCCCGGCGCGTGCCGGATAGCAGCAGTAACGGAGACTGGGAAGACAGTATGGAGCTGCCTGCGGTGGCGGCTTTGTGCTATCGGAACAGCAATTGTGACTGCGAGTCGAGCCTAGCGGCTACGCCGACCCGCGCCTCACCGGCCACCGCAGCAATAAATAAGCAGGTAAACGGGGGGGCGCCGCGTCTATCTGCAGACGGCAAACCCTTTTTCGGGGAGGCGTTCACGTCATCTCGCCACGCGCGCGCGCCCGTCCGTCGCAGCGGTTCCTTTCAGATCAGGCGTTGGAGCAGCTGTCGAACAGAGGCGACGGTGCGGAGCCGGAGCCCATCTTGTTGGCGGGCGGGTGGGGTACGTGGGAGTCGGAGCGCTAGCCGCTAGCCGCTAGGTGGCCAGACACGGTGGGGTGGGAAAGAGTGGGAAAGGGGGCGACGCGACGCTAGTGCGCCTTGCGTCCGATCGGGGGTCAAGGAATCGATCGCAGCCAACAACGTGTGCTGCTCGCGGTGGACTCCTTGGCGTGGGCGTGGTCGTCGCAGTGGGCGGATGATGATGGATGGGTGCGTGTGATGTCCGGTTGCCCGGGGCTTTGGTGTCGATCGATCGCGGTCGCTCCGAAAGTCTGGCCCGGGCTGCGTCGAGGAAACTAGATGAGGCCTAGGAGATCGTCATCAATGCTGGGTTGGCCACCTGTGGGATTGGGGAACTGATGCGTGAGAGCAAACTCCAAGGGCCGACCCAAACGGACGGCGTATTTGTCTACTTTTTGTCCGTTTGGATCGATCGCCCGCCCGGCGTCCGCCCTGTTTTGCATTTGGGTTGTCAGTGCGTTCAACACGTCGATCCATTTTCATGTCCGCACTCAATTTTTTAAAAAGTCCCGCGGCCATATGTCATGCCAGCGGTCATGTCTCATGCCGGCACCATGCCAACGCCGGCATACATTGTTGTCTTTAAAAAATATCATCACACAGTTCATGCTGGCGCACCGCCAGCGGCCGACACACATGTCATCACATAAAAAGAGGGTGGGACTTGAGTTCGACCACGCCATCGCGGCCCCGTGGTCATGCCAACGCACAAGACGGCATACAAAAAAAAGGCGCCCGCGGCCACGAGACCACTCGTCGGTGAACTTGAGCATGTCGGCCTGTATTTTCTGGAACTACGATCTCTTCCTTGGCGACATGGTGTTGAGATCCACCTTCATGATCTCCACCCCGGTCATCATGCTTGCGAGAGCCACTTCTTTGGCCTTGGTCTTGGCGTTAGCGGCCTCGATCTCGAGCATCTTGGCTTGCTTCTCCGCCTCGAGCTCAAGCATCTTGGCTTGCTTCTCCGCGTCCATCTCTAGGCCCCTCCTTTGGATCTCCATTAAGGCGTTTATTTGCTCCTCTTTGAAACGCCGGCGCTCCTCCTCTCTTGAGTCCTTGTTCATCATGACCTTCACGCTTGCGATCAAGGCGTTCGATGCCGCATCCCACTTGTCCTCCTTCTTGGAGTTGGTCTTCCCTCGCGGCCGAGCCGACTCGTCGTCCCCAACCTCCATGACTTTCTCCCCCCCCCCCGCGTGACTTGAGGGAGGCATATTGCGCCTTGAACTTCTCCTCGTCTTTGCTGACCCTAAACCAATGAGAGAGGTTGAAGCACATGCCGTTGTGTTGGACCTTGAATGCCTCCAAAGCTTGAAATGCCTACAAATGTTTTCATGCAAGCATATTGGCAAAAGTGGTATGAAAAAATGAACACGCAAGCATGAACTTGATGACACAAAAGAGGGTGGCTTGCTACCATACATGTCTTGCATGCCGATGCCGCTCACGGGGCGGGCCTTGACACTCTCAAGAGTGGCACAAAACTTGTTGCACTCTTTGGCTTGTGCGCGGCGGCGGTCTTGCACGGGCCACAAGGCTTGCCTTTCCCGGAGGGGGTGGTCTTCATGCTGGACGAGGCGAGGGAGGCGAGGCCAGCGGCGGCGTCGAGGTCGAGGTCATCGTCCATGGTGGGTGTGGGGCGGG